TCTATTGTCTCACTTACGGGTGCAACTCTGACTGTTTAACTTAATACTCTGCAGCAGTCACACTAGAAAACGTACTCCAGTTTCTCCAGATATAAAATTGTAGATATATAAAACACAGAGCAGTCGTGAAAATTTCTAGCTCTAGGTTTAAATTACTGTAAATTATGAAAATAGTCTATATAACCAGAAGAAATCAAGAAATGTTAGGTTTTGCCTTTTATTTAATTAAACTTTAATTAATTTTATTTAATTAAACTAATTAATGCTACTAATGTACATTTTTATCATGACTTTTTAAAAATAATTATTCCTATTACCTAAAATTAAAATTGTTTCAAAACTTAGAAGAAAAAAATTAAGTTATTCTATTCATCTTTGTGAATTCCAGACCTCATATTCTTTTAAAGTGTCTATTAAATAATATTTAAAATATATATAGTTGAATATAAGAAATTTAAGCTACTTTGATGTTTCTAAATCTATCCTAAAAGAGACACAAGGATCTTAACTGATGAGAACGAAAAATCACTGTACACATATACTTAGAGAAAAAACAAAGTCCAAAGACATTGTCAAAATCTTAAATAACTAACACTTTTTTCTTCTTTTGGTAGTTTCTGAATTTTCTTCAATATATACAACTTTAGAATCAGATACCATCAGTTATTTAAAATGTCTGTAATCCCAGCACTCTGGGAAGCTGAGGCAAGAGGATGGCACATTTGAGCCCAACCTAGCAACTTGGCAAGACCCTGTCTCAAAAAACTAAAAATAAAAAAGATGAAGTCCCTGTTCAATATACAGATCCAACAAAAATGAACATAAGCTCACAAATTATAATACCTTTACATGACAAGCAGATCCCATGTATAAATTAACGTGGCCTGAAAACAGGGACACCTCTTCAGGTAGCTCGGAAGGCTTAGGGTGGGTGGAAGGCTACGTGACTTTTTCATGCTGTGTCTTTCACAAAGAAAGTCCTGTACTGCAGGCACAGCCATTCTGGTATTTGCACTCGCCTTAGAAAGCACATTTTATTCTCTGCCACACTGAACTGAGTGACCATACATTATCCTACTAGAGTAGATAGAAGCACTCATTTTCCAAAGCATATACAGCAATCAGGAGTATGATAATAAAAAAGAAAACCTAGGACCTCGATAAATGGGAAATGTATAGCAATTATTTCCCCCAAGAAATTTAAAAATCTTTTTAAATACATATTAACTCAAGGTTTGTTTTGTCTTAAACATCGAAGCCATGCATACTGAAAACAGCTGAATCCATACCCCAGGAAAAGGACTGACATACAGACCAAAGCTTTCCTGCTTTTTTCTATTTCCAAGAAATGTAAACTCTTAAAATAAAGCTTCCATCTGCCAATCCATTCTCTTCCCCATTACGCTTGCAAATTGCTAGATGGTCATAGCAAACCAATACCCTGAAACCCAGCAGTGTCAGATAAACTGAGTCTCCCCACCACACAGCAATTTAAGTGCTACCCATTTAAAAGCAAGGACAGGTTCTGGGGGCCACATCTGTTTTGGTGAAGAATGATCAGTGCGACTGCAATATTAAGATCAGGATACAGCTGCTTGTGACTAAACCCACGCTTACTGAATAAGGACAGGCAGAGCATTACAGAGCACCAGACATCTGTTTCCTGTTTTCATTCTTCCCTTTATCATTCTATCCCAATTTCCTTTTACCTGTAGGCCACCTATAAACCCGCAACCAAGCAAGCTTTTTGTTGAACTGTTTTTGTTTTTTGTTTTTGTCTTTTCCTTCTATGCCCAGGGTCCGGGTAGTTTAGTCCTTCTATGTAGGGGGAAAGGAACTCAGGACCTGCTGCACATTCTGAGCCCAGAAGGCTGCAGCCTGTGCAGAGTTCCTCTAGGTGACTAACTTCTTCCACATTTCCCAGGAACTTTCCCTGCTGAGGAGGTACCCAGCTGCTTGAAAGATACAGCAGTTGGCCATAATAAGGCAAGGCAACAAGTTACTTAAGGCCAGAGCACAAAATGGTATTTCTAGCCAGGTGTGGTGGCACAGGCCTGTAATCCCAGCACTCAGGAGGCTGAGGCAGGAGGATCACTGCAAATTCAAGATCAGCCTGGGCTACAAAGTGGGCTCAAGGTAGCCTGAACTGCAGAGTGAGACCTTGTCTCAAAAAGACAAAAACAAACAAACAAAAACGGTACTTCTTAGGTTATTTCCACATTTCATACTCAGATACAGAAGATTACATGTTTACATATCAGGAAATTCATTCCTATGTAAATACGTTAAGGTCAATGTAGTTTTCATCGATCCAAAGCAGCATCTCTACCATTATCCACTCAACAGTTTATCCCAACATTACTGGACAGGTTTATGAACCAACCAACCTGAGCATCATCGCTTGGGCAGGTGTCATTTGAACCAGCTTATTCTTGTATTGGATAAGTTTGATAGAATTGTCATTTTTATATTTCCTGTTACCTCATAAGAAATAATGAAAAAGAATGCAATTTTTGGTCACCTTGCCTTTAAATAAGTGGAGTAGTAAGTGGTTAAGGTATTACCACTAGGGCTGAGGATACAGCTCAGTGGTAGCCTATTATGAGGCCCTGGGTTCTATCCCCAGCACTGCAAAAGAAAAAAAGGTGTTATAGTGGAAACAATAGTTTATTTTATACAACCTTGTATTTTACAGATCATCACTGTATTTCACAGAGTTCCACGTTATAGTTTAAAAATAAGGAACACAGGGGGCTGGGGATTTAGCTCAGCGGCATAAGCGCCTGCCTTGCAAGCAGGCAGTCGTGAGTTCGATCCCTGGTACCGATAAAAACGAAAAAGACCAAAAAAAAAAAAAAAAGAAAAAAAAAAATAAGGGACACAGTTTAAATAGCCTGCTGGAAAGCACTCAGAAATGTACGCTGTCTGCTAAATGTATTTGATACACAGCTGAGGGCTATAATTCATGTCTAGCATTCACAAGGCTCAAGATCCAATCCCAAGGACCCATGTAAACTACATTATATCTGATATAACAGGTAAGCTCAGAATAGTATATGCATCTCCCTTTAATCAAAAAGTTTTATTAACTTTGAGAGGTAGGCTAGGGACAAGCAACTGTAAGAGAACATGAACTCTGCTGCCTTTAGTGTGACTGGACTTTAAGATGTGTGACTGAACTGACTGTGTCAACCTGAGTAAGAAACACCCAGCTAGCTACATTGGATCAGCATTGTTCTGGGGTGGCTGAGGGAGTTTACTGAAGATGTGATTTACTGGGTATTGCTCACCACCTGAATGATGTAGGAGGGAAACAGAAAGGCTGGCAGGCTCACAGCTGCTCCTCTGAGGAGCTCCAGCCTTCACCTTTACCTCGGATGCTGTCTCCTGGCTTCCAGCGCACACCCTTTGGCCTCCTGGGATTCCGCCGGGCACAACTGAGAGCTCCAGGCCTTCCACCAGGTCCCCTGGACCTCCAGCATGCATACCTTCCACACTCCCACACCTGACTCTGGGTGGCTGCTGTGAGCCAATGCTGTGAATTACCTATTTGTACATCTTGCATTACATCTGCTTTTCACTGATACAAGGTCCGTACTACTTGCTGCTTATCCAAGACTCAGGAGACAGAAACTAATGGGAGGAAATAGATGTAGTCACAGCTGGCCCTGAAGATAGGAGGCTTCTTTGTTGCTCAAATGTGTCTGAGGGGGCTGAGGTTCATAAGGGCTTCTATGGGAGAAAAAACGGTAGTGAGACCGTGGGCAGGAAGCCTCAGCACTGAGCAAGGGTCTTCTGCGGAGCAGTTTGCATCTAGTAATTCATTTTCAGCTCCTCTTCCTCATCTGAAAAGATCTGACCGGGATCTGCCAGCCAGCATCTGGATGCCCTTTTCTGGCAGAAATTAGGACTTTGCTCTGAGGAAAAGACAGGATTCAAAGTATGGCCAGTAAGACATAAACAAACCCTACGTGGCAGCTTCTAGAACCTTCCTTAAGAAAAGCTGACTTCCTCCTGCCCATCCCTATTTGGATCATGAAAACGAAGATCTGTCTTTGCATGGGAGGGTTTATCAAGGAAAAACCTCGGGCTCCATGGCTTTGTGCAACAGACTCAGCAGAAGTCCTTGAGTGGAGTTTGGTACTTGGTGAGAAAAAAATAAACTTCATACCACTCAAACACTGTGATTTGGAGTTCCTAGCCAATGCAGCTAAAGGCAGACCCAACACAACAAAACTATGTTTTAAAACTTTAGCTTAGCCTCTAGAATTCCAGAGATTTCATATGCCACCATAGAGATTATCAAAAAAGATGATTCTAAACCCTAGGGGGGTTTTGGTTGTGTTTGTTTTTGTTTTTGAGACAGTCTCTATGTAGTACAGGCTGGCCTCAAACTACTCATGGTGATTCTCCTACCTCAGTCTCCCAAGTGCTGGGATTACAGGCATGCAGTACCACACCTGCAGTTCTAGGTTCTAAGAAGTGGTTTAATAACAAATCAGACTACAAAACTTTGATAAACTCATAAACTTATAAATTCATAAACTGAATTCCAGGTTAGCAATATATGAGCTTAAAAAGTCAGAGAAGACAAAACAATGCATGGTTTAGGGGTTTTTGTTTTGTTTTGAGGGTCTTGCTCTGCAGTTGAGGCTGGCCTTCAACCTACTCTGTTGCCCAGGCTGGTTTCAAACTCACAGCAATCCTCCTGCCTCAGCCTCCCAAGTACTGGTATTACAGGTGTATACCACCATGCTTGGCTATGGTTTAGGTTTTTATACATTTTTATTTTTAAAAAATAATCAGCAGCCAGGTCTGATGGTGCATACCTCTAATCCCAGCACTCAAAAGGTTGAGGCAGGATGATCACTGAATTCAAGGCTGGCCTGGGCTACAAAGTAAATTCAAGGACAGTCAGAACTACACAGTTGAAATGCTGTCTTACACACACACACATGCATGCACACACACGAAAAAGAAAAGAAAAACAAAAACTAAAATCAGCCAAGAATAATTTTATTCTCTGTAAGAATTATCATGCTATCATGAATTACTCAAGTATCAACTTTTAATCACTCAAGTAAATGAAAACACTTATGAGATTTAGGTATAATACATCACCGCAAAGTTAAATAACCTCATTAACTTCTGATTCTCCTACATTCACTGAGTTTGGTGCTGGGTGCTAGCTTCAGCTGCTCAGGAAGCTGAGGAAGAACAGTCTGAGCCCAGGAGTTCAAGGTCAGACTCAATGTGACAAAGCCCCAGCTCAAAAAAAAAGTGTTTACATGATTTTATGGTTTATGTAATCACTGAACAAGTTTTCCATTATTTGAGATGGAACAAAATACGAAAGTCTCCAATGTCTGAGATAAGTAAAATTGTAACCATTAGAACTCTTACCTTCTTTAAGAAAAAACTGCTCATGGCTTGACTGTGGTCTACTTTTATCAGAGTATCTCTAATCTCCAGTGTTGCTAGAAAACGCAGACTGGACATGGTGGGGCGTGCCTGTAACCCCAGTGTGTCAGAGGTGGCTAAGGCAGGATGATGGTAAGTTCAAAGCCAGCCAGGACAAGATGTCATCTCAAAAACAAAAAAGTTAAAAAGGGCTGGACCCATAGCTCAGTACGAAGGTCTTGGGTTCCGTCACAAGAGGTACCATAAACAAAATCAACACTTACTGCCACACACATCTATGCACACAACTTAGAAGCTAAACTAGTACTCCTAATGCCTTCCACCCCAACTGGATAGCACTTCCCTAAGGCTCCCTGGACAAAAGAAGCCATAGCTTTTCTGGGGTTGGGCAGGGGGACAGGATTTCAATATGTAGTTCATGCTGGCCCCTTAACTCTCTACCTAGCCCAGGCTGGCCTAAAAAGTGAAATTGCAGTAATCCTCCTGCTTCAGTCTCAACTGCTGGGATCAGAAGCAGGTACCACCACACCCAGTTCCACTGCCTGTACGCTGCTGGCTCTAATCTCAATGAACAGGCCTACTAATCAATCCCATTCCACTTTCTCATTCATTCTAGCTCATGACAACAGCAAGAAAAGGCTGGAGGAAAAGATCATGAAAAGGTGGACTAGAAATATTTCAAAAGTTACCAACTCCCTCAACAGATAAGCAGCAACATTAAATCTCTGAGACACAGTCTATACCAACTCAATTCCTTTATGCAGTTTCTGTTTCTTGCACTTTTATTTTTATTTTAGATGAATATACATTAAAAAAAATCCTGACAGCTAACATCAACCCTGGAAAGGTATTATACGTTTGGGAAATCCACGGTTCAGTCCCTTTTCTGGTACTCTTCACAACTCTGCTTTCCTGGGAGGGAATTCACGAGCTATAGTATTTGAGGAGCTCCTCATCTATAGGCTTTAGAATTTTCCTATCTGCCATGTTTACCACCCATCCAGGAGCCAGACCAAAGAAAATCTGCCTTGGATCCTTGCGAGTACTGAGCATTTTGAAGAGTTCATCTTTGGTGATGTCAGGTAGAACATAACCATACTTCTGGGCAAGTTCAAGTCTTGCTTGAGGAAATTTGGCAGGGTCAGCCAGGTAACCACGGGTCTTTGCATCAGTATAATACGGTACCAGCTCTTCCGGTGGAAGCATTCGCTTTGGAATGGGTTGGCCACGCATAAAGAATGGAATAGGTTTGCACAGAATTTCTGAAAAAAAAAATATAAATAAGAAATACAAATATTCATTCTATACATGATGACTATGTATAAATTTATTTTTTAAATCTTCTAAAAACAAGATAATCCACGTGAGAGATGTACATCTCTAAATTTGCTATTCCGTAAGTAATTAAAAAACAGCAACTAGCAGAAGAAAAAGACAGAAAGAAGACAACCAACCCAAGAGCAAGCTTACCAAGGCTTTTCGGATCATAGAAGGCTGTAGTAACCACACCACCATTTTTTTCAATCGCAGCAATGGCTAGTTCAGAAACCAACTGTACTTCAATATTAATTTTTGCCTTAAAGGTGTCAGCACCCTGTCATAAGTCAAAACGAAGCCTGTTAGTAAACAGCTTGGCTAAGAAAACTACATCAAGATTCCTTTTTAAACTACCTTTTCTCCTCCAAAATACCTCCAGTACAATAGTAGTTCCTGTTTTTAAATATCTCTATGTTGAAAACCTACCAAAAAAATTTTTTTTTATATTTAGGCTATCCTATTTTTATCAATTTTCAATTCCTAGAGAATATATATTTCTAAATTGACAATTTTGTGTTAAAGGATTAAAACAATTTTTGGTTGTTTTTTGTTTTCTTTCTCAAAATAGGTTTTGCCAGGAGTGGTGATGCATACCTGTAATCCCAGCACTCAGAAGGCCAGCAGGAAGATCACTGCAAGTTCGAGGCCAGCCTGAATTACATAGCAAGACCCTGTATCAAAAAGTTTTCAAAATCTATCATGTCCTTGCAAATATGAAATTTAAAAAAGGTAAATATTTTACAGATCAGTAAATAACATGTGACTGCATTTACCCCACCACTCCCTTGGAGTAGAGCTCTCAAGATAATTTTTACTAGTTTAACAGACACCTAAAGCCTACTGAGATATGCTAATACAGTCATGGACCTTTTCATGTGTTAAGACAAACATAGAATAAAACACTGAGGCTTAACCACGTATTTGGTATTCTGTTTTCAAACTATCTTATCTGAAAATCTTCTGTACATAGTCTTACTTTTTGAAAGGCAGCTACAAGGTTTTTCTATCATCATGTGCTTCTCTCTAGTGGACACTGAGTTTCTTGTGCATTAAATAAAATAAACAATGGTTGATTAACAATATACAAAAATTTATTGTCATATAAACTCCTGGCCAATTCCTTGACTGCAGTTAAGAGTAAAATATAATATATACCTTTCCCTCCTAATTTTTCTGTTTTGTTTTTGTTTCTTGAGACAGAGTCACACTATGCAGTCCAGGCTGCCCTCAAAACTTGCAGCAACCTTCAAGCCTCAAAACTCGCAGCAACCTTTAAGCCTCAGCCTCCTGAGTGCTGAGAATACAAGCCTGCACCACCACAACCTATTCCTCCATAAATATTAATTATCATGTACTAATACTACCAAAATTGAAAATATAGCAGTCAATTACCTGAGCTCAAGAGCTTACACTCTAGTAATGAAGACAATGAAACATTAATGCATAAATTGATACTAAATGCAAATATTCATAAACATTAAAGAAAAATGTTTTGGGCAGAGTAAGGCAGACAATGTGACTGCGAGGTGGGGCAAGTGTTCTTTTATAAAGAGCTGTCAAAAAAGATCTTTCCAGACAGGCATGGTGATACATGCTTGTAATCCCAGCACTGAGAGGCTGAGGCAGGAGGATCCTCAGGAGTTCAGGAGTTCAGACCAGCCTAGGCTACACATTGAGTTCAAAGCCGGCCTCTCAAGAAAAAAAAGGATCTTCCTGATATGCTGACATTTGGGGAGAGACTCAAAAGAGGTGGATGAGGGAGTAAGCTATATCAATACAGAGAAACACATTCGGGATGAGGGAGCACAGTCCTTCAAGGCACAATGTTCAACTTTCCAAAACTAAGTAATGAAGCCGGGTGTGGTGGCACACGCCTGTAGTCCCATCACACGGAAGACCAAGGCAGGAGGATCGTTGCAAGTTCATTGCCAAGTTCAAGATCAGCCTGAGCTACAAAATGAGCCCAAGGCCAGCCTGAACTGCCTGTCTCAAAAAGACAAAAAAAAAAAACTAAGTAACCTAAGAACACAACTCAAACTGGATAAAAACAAGAGGGCAGAATGTTACTTATAACAATTCCCCTTTATTCTCAGTTTTGCCTGCCTTGGTTTCCATTAAGCAAATTTCAACCATGGTCCGAAAAGATAAATGGAAAATCTCAGAAATAAACAATTTTTAAGTTTTAAATTGTGTGCTGAGTAGTGTGGTAAAATCTCATGCCATCCCACGTTACCCTGCCCATGACACATCATCCCCTTTCCACCATACCCACATGGTATACACTGCCTGCCCACTAGTCTCTTACAGTATCACGCTTCTATTCACGTGATCCGTATTTACTTAATAGCACCAAAAGTGCAACCGTAGTGATAACGGCAATTCAGATAAGCCGAAGAGAAGTCATAAAGTAGTTCTTTAAGTTAAAAAGTAAAAATACTCATTTAGGGAAGAAAAAAATCCTCATTTCTTTGATTTTTTTGAGACAAGGTTTCACTGGGCAGGTTAGGCTGACCTCATTCATGCTCAATAAGTAGTCCAGGCTGGCCTCAAACTCTCAGCAATTCCCCTGCCTCAGCCTACCCAGTGCTGGGATTACAGGCCTGCACCACCACACCCAGGTAAGGGCAGAAAAAAAACTTATGCTGAGATCTGTGGGAAGTTATTAATATTAATCTCTTAAATGCCTAATTTACAAACTAATCTGATTATAGGTATGTATATAAAGGAAAAATAGGTCATGATGTCCATGGTTTCAGGCATGCATTTGGAATGGAGTAAGACAGGAACTACTATATATAGAAATAAAAAATACGTTTCTACATAACACCAAAAGATTTAATGCAGACTTACCTCCTCCACCAGCTGGACACCATAGTCCCTTTTATGTGGCTGGATGGTTACACCTCTCCCATTGACAAGCTGGGTTAAGTCAATAGGTTCAGTAGGATCAACTCGACCCAAATCAATAAGATACTGCAGTCTCTTCAAACTCAGAGGCTGATACTGACGTCTGAAGCTATGGATCAAGAAAGCAACAGTTGGAAAATAAAAATTTTCCTGCAACTTCTCCAAATCAGCTTGAAGCTCTGTCCTATGATTTTCTCTTCCATCGCTTTTGATGGTTTGACAAAATAAAACCTTCCTGACTGCCTCACAAACAAGTGATATTGATGGAATTAGGGTACTTCACAGTAAAAATAATTTGCCTCTATAAGCACCTAATTTACTCATCTATACAAACAAATACATTTATGAAAAATGTTATTATCTGAATTATACAGTGGTGGTCCACAATGGGCCACATATATATCTGTTATCTGTTGACATATAAATTTTTATTGGTAATCTTTTAAGCAATCATAAGAACAGGTACAACCCCCACTTTGCAAGTCTGATTATGTCTGGACTAGCTCAGCCATAATCTCTATTTTGCAAGTCTGATTATGTCTGAGCTTTTTTTCCCTACTAATCCAGGCTGTTTCATTACAGTAAATGATTCAGAGAAACAGCAGCAAAAAAAAGTTCACTTTGAAATGAATTTTAAATTTCCACAAAATTATTTTTTTAGGTGATTCTAAGTGGAAGTTAGGAGTTTGTCCTTTAAAAAGCAGAGTAACATTACCTATGTCCTTCATTAAATCCGTATTTTGGGATGCGGAGGTAAAATGGTGTCTGGCCCCCCTCAAAGCCCAGTCTGGGCCGTGTTCCTCTTTGTCTTTCTCCTTTATGGCCTCTGCCACATTTTCTACCTCTTCTTCGACCTCTAGGTCGTCTCTCCTACAAATAAAAAGGAAGTTTTAGGATATTAGGATACATTTCAAAAAACTGTATTTCAGCTTTCCGCGGAATATTTTTGGTTATGCCATTCATTCACCCATCCAACCAACCAGCACTTAGCTAAAGCTAGGCGGCACTGTTCTAGCTGCTCCGATATCCATACCCCATTAGCATCTTTGCCTCTGAAGACTTGGCAGTTCTTGTAACCAAAACACAAACTATAGTTCACAAGTTGCAAAAATAAGGGACGGGTTATGATCAGATAGGGACTAACAGTATCCTAGAATTAAACATATAAAACAAGCTTAAACGAATATTCCAGGAGGGGTTTCTATTTTGGAATTCTAAATTTGGAGACTAACATACTTCCTTAAACTTGCTAGCACTTCACGTAAACAACGAAATTATACTATCCTACGACAGTCTGTCGACGATTTAACAGTTTTTAAAGCTATATTCAGTGAGCTGCGGGAATAAGTCAACTTACACCTTTTTAATGACGACGAAATATCCGTTTGCTGGGGAACGACTTTATTTTAAATGCAATTTTGAATGATAATCATTTTGCAGTTTCTGAGTTTGCGCCCCCTAAATTTTTATGCCCTAAATATAAACCTTATTAAGAGTTGGCAACGTGCGAGAAGATTTTCTCTGGGGAGTGAAGGGCAGCTGGCTTAGCAACCCTCCGCTTGAGGCAGCACCCTCTGGCAAAAGCTGTCCTGGACCACGACAGGAAGAGCCAGGCCACGGCCTGGGCCCCTGCCCCCAGCGCTCCCTGCTCCACCATCAGCCATTTACCGGTTTCCTGGAGCCGGGATTGGGCTTTAGGTTGGCCAGGCTCACACGCGGCAGCGACCTGAGCAGGTTCAGGGAGCGGAGCCCCCCACCTTTCAGCGGACTCCCCATGGCCAGCCAGCCCCAGGCCTCCCAAGGACGCCGCGGAGGCCACGTGGTCGCAGCAAGCTGCTTTACGGCCGCGGCACGCCCCTGTCGCGCTGCAGGCGGCGCGCCGCAACCTCAGAATCCCGCCGAAGCTTCGCAGTTGGAGGCTCGTGTGGCAAGCTGGTGGTAATGGCTGTTTTGTTTTGTTTAACGAGATTGTTCTTTGGTGGGCTTCACGCACTATTGTGGCGAATACAGTTATTTTCGACCAAAGTAAAACACACGTTAATCAACCTTTCAGTGTTTTTGAGCTTGGGAGCCCAACTATTCAAACAGTTCTGATACCAATCTTGAAATAAGATTCAGTCTATGACCTCTCACCCACATGTCTGTTTACTGCTAATCGTGGGGCCCTGCGGGGGGTGGGGGTGCAGCCTGTAACCGCAGCCCTGGGGACGCTGAGCAGGAAGAGCCCAGCGAGCTGGAAACCAGCCTGAGCTGCGTAGTTCTAGGGCAGCGTGACCCTGTCACGAAAACAAAACCAAGATAGTAATAATGGGAACGGTACTTAGCGTCTAGTATGTATCCGACATCGTATCAAATTACATTTATCCAATTTATATAACTAAATGACTCTCGAGGTAGATAATAATCACATTTGACAGAGAAAGTGTGGTTGGTTAGGTCGGTCACAGTGGCCCTGATCTAATGTGAATCAGCAGAGCTAGGATTTAAACTGCTCCTTATTATAAGAGTGGTATTTTTGTAATATAAAATTGAATCGCTGCATCACAAAACTCGTATTTCAAATATAAAAATGAATGGGTTTAAACACATTTCTCATAAGTGACTTTAAAAGGCTGTTCCCTGCCCGGCATGGTGGCACATGCCTGTAATCTTGAGACGGAGAATAGTACACATGGCCCCAGTATGGGTAAATAAGTGATTTAGGAAGTCCCTGTCTCAGAATACCAAAAGGATTGGGGGAATGTAGCTTAAAGAAGATCTGGGGTTCAATGCCCAATACCAAAAGCCGAATAAAAACTTGTTCTTTTCGTTCTTTGTTCTTTTGCTAGTTTACTTCTTACAGGGGAAGCTATGCCTGCTGGCTCTTGCAAGCAATCACATTGAAGACAATTTTTAGAGACCAGTTATGTCCATGTTTAAGCCTTTGTGCAGTTACTTTAAATCAAATGTAGATTAACTACATTTAAAAATTGCATTCATTCCTTTAGTAAGCAATGTTTATGAGCAAGACGCTGAATTACAAAAATATACATGAAAGAAATCTAGTATAATTTCACCCCCAGGCTTTCTGGAGAAAGTTTTCAGAATTGAGTATTCTTTTAATGCTAAAACAATTGTAGATTCTTGTTGACTAACTAGAAAAAAATGGAAGAAAAAGATATTTTAGTTCTGCAAAATGATATTAAAGTAAGGTCCAGAGTCTACTTAAAAGTACAAACATGCTAGTCCTGGTGGTACACAGCTGACTCTCAGTGCTCAGGAGGCTGAGACAGTAGGGTGTTCAGGAGTTGAGGCCGACCTGAGCTACACAGTGAATTCTTGTCTCAAAAAAGGAAAAGAAAAAAATTAATTGTCACCCTTACTGACTTTTAATTCATTGATTTCCACAATCTTTCTTTTAAGTTTTCATACTATTACAGACCACTAAGTTAAGATAGAAGTTAATAGGCAGTCAGAGAGGATCAGGCCCTCAAGAGAACGCAAAAGATGAGATCCTCAAAATCGTGGTTGGTGGCAAATTTGAAGACAGCCAGCCCTCAACATGGAGATGCATTGGCCACCTCTGCAAGCCTCACTAGAAATAAGCAGCAACTAGAGATTACATAGTAATTAGCACCACCTGGTTTAGTAGGTAGGGCATCAGACACATAGGTGGGTGACCAGAAAAGCCAGGCTGGGGCAGGGGATATGGCTCAGCAGCATGGCATCTGCCTGACAAGTGCAAGGTCCTGAATTTGATTCCCAGCACCAAAAAAAAAAAAAAAAAATAGGAAAATCCATATCCATACTCCCATCCCTTTCCAGAAATGCTTTTATTCTTTTTATATTAGACCCTGTAGATCAGCTAAAGTTAATGATGCTCGTCATACACCTTTGCCATGACCCTCATTTCCCTATTGGATCAATATTAGTTAAACAACCATGCTTTTAGTCCTATAGGTCTATAGGTCAATTGTAGTTTGGCCGGTAGCTACCCACATTGCTCTATCAAATACCTTTGACAAACAGTTTCCATGGCCACCTACTCAGAATTCCTCCTGGAAGGCCAGGAGCTGTTCTTTTTATTCCCAATAAAACTCTCCTAACGTCCCCTGTTGGTTTACAACTTCATTCCTCGATGTTGTGAGACCACACACCTGGTACATATGATAAAAATACCTTTGGGAAGAAATTTACAAAATATAATTGCAAACTGCACCATAATCTACAGAAAGACACACAATTTTTCAATACCTATCTAGAAAAAAATCATATTTTTCAAGTTAGAGGAGCTTTACATTTATTAAAGGTAGGAAAAGAAATATGCTCTGGAGAAAAAGTTTGGTCCAAGTGAGAATAAGAAAGACTCTACAGCTGAGAACAGAGTACTGGGAAAGAGAGAACAATACAGCTAGAAAACCATTGTTTGCATTCTGTTTGAATGTTAACATCACAAGCATGTTTGCTGGACTCAGTCACACACCTCTGTAATCCCAGTTCCTGGGAAGATGGAAGTAGGAGAACCATAAATCTGAACCCAGCCCCAGAAACAACATAGCTGGAGCCTGTCTCAAACGATGGGACAGGAAATATAACACACTGCATTCCTCTCTCTCTCTCTCTCTCTCTCTCTCTCTCTCTCTCTCTCTCTCTCTCTCTCTCTGGTATTTTTATTTCTTTCTTTGTTTTTTTATGCCAGGGATTGAACCGAGGGCCTTGTGCATGCAAGGCAAGAACTCTACCACTGACTCACATCCTCAGCCCCATACACCGCACTTCTTAGAGGCAAATATTTTATTTATTTATTTTTATTTAGAAGCATATATTAGCCGTGTGGGCTATGCAACTTAGGGGGCCATAAATTAAAAACAGTAGAAATACTAATGATTTGTAGTTAATTGTAGGATGCATGATTACTTTTCTACCTTCCACATTTTGACTGAGTATAGAAAACTGTCAGAAAAGGTGGGAGCTGGTGTATACATAGTCCTACACTCTAGGAGGCTGAGGCAAGAGGACTACAAAGCCAAGCCAAGCATGGGCAATTTAGCAAGACCAGCTCAAAATAAAGAAGAGCTGTAGTTAAGTCAGTGCAAAGGTGCTGGGTTCAGCCCTCAGTACCTCAAAACAAACACCTGTCGGAATAATGTGATGATTTGCATCTTTGTCATAAAATGTAAATTAAAAGTGTGGTAAGTCAGTGATCCTTAAATTAATTTAAGTCTGTAGAAGTTTTACATCATCGTCACCACACAAGTAGTAATTATTACACACCCACATGCTTGGGATGTTGTTCAAAGTAAGCCCTGTTTCAACCAAGTTAAGGAAGGGTATTATAATAAATTTTATCTCAACAACTGCTGTTTTTAAATTTCACGTTTTTGTTTTTGTTTTTCTGAGGCAGGGTCTCCCTACACAGTGCAGGCTGGCCTTGAACTAAGGTCCCTCTTGACTCCAACCCCAGTTAATAATGATTCTAAATCATGACATAAAAAGAAGAAAATGAATCCTGGAAAGATAATATAATTTGAAGTTCCTTTAAAAGTGCTCACAAACTCCCATATAATCTTTCCATCTGTTCCAGTGCCTAATAGTCTGTTAACAGATTAATCCCTTTGAACTCATTATTTTAAAATAGTCTCATGGTAAACAGAATGTCGGAGTAGGGCAGTAAAATTAAAAGGGAATAAATTCATTCCATAAGTTGCTTTGCAGGATACATAATAATACACTAGGAAATGGAGATTTTGATCAATGTAATCCTGTTATTGAGATTAAAAACAAAACAAAGCTACATAAACACTTTCTATCCTGAGATAACTCATGAAATAATATCTTAATATGTTGGTAGGGATAGGAACAGGAGGAGGAAACGATTTTTAGTTATTAGATTATTGCTGAATTTTACTATAAACCAAGAAAAAGGTTTTTTTGGTTTTTTTATCAGTACCGGAGATTGAACTCATGACCGCCTGCTTCCAAAGCAGGTGCTTATGCTGCTGAGCTAAATCCCCAGCCTCTAAGAAAAAGGTACTTTTAGGATGAGTTTGCTGAGAGGATGTAGCTCAGTAGTAAAGTGCTTGCCTAGCATGTTCAAGGCCCTGGATTTGATTCTTGGCACTGAAAAAAAAAAAAAGACTTAGCATGGGATGCAGAATAAATGAGATTTGAGATGGTCAACACGAGGGAGCAGAAAACTAGAGAAGCGATTATTTATTAATCAGGGAGGAGGGAGTCACGGTGAAGGAACAGTGAATCCTTTTGACTTTGGACAAAAACTAATATTGACAGAAGACTATGAAGAGGGCATGGAAAGGGCTGAAAATAAATTTCACCTTGATCAAATCTACCTCGTTTTCCAAAGGTTTGGTACTAACTTAAAGGTTTTCATTCACACCAAAATAGATTTTTGTTTTAATTTGATTAAAATATGGTAATTCCTACATGTTCTGAAAAAAGTTAAATAGTACATAAGGGTTCCTAATCAAAGCCCTAGTTCTCTAGTTCCCCATCCCATTCTGAATTTTCCTTCTCCGTAATCAATCACTTTATAAAAAAGTCAGAGCTGAGGATTGAAGGCAGGGTCTCACACGTGCCAGGCAGGCACGCTGCCACTGAGCTATACTCTCACTGTGTAAGGAGTCACTATTAGCTTTGCTTTTGTTTCTCTGGTGACTGCCTCCTTACTAATAATAAAATCTCTCCCTCATTAATTGGAAAGCTGGTGGTATAATTCCAATCTAGGTCTGAAGGCTTGAATCCAGGAATCTTCAGGAAGCCAAAGGTGAATTCCTTGTTCCTCTGTCTTTGTGTTCCGTTCAGGGCCTCCGTAGGCTGGATGTTATGCGTTGAGCTAGGGCAGTTCACTTTAC